ATTTTTTCATAGTCCCACCAGAGGTGTAGCCTGGAGCCTACTCCCCTACTGCACCTCCAGCAGAGGTCGGAGTAAGTTGGGTCTATTGCATGCAATAGGGCTGCTGTGTGATACCAATTGGTCAACAGTTTAAAAGCAGTCTCCTGTATCCTGCTGAATACAGAGCAGTGGTGCATAAGGTGTAGGTGTGTGTGTTGAGGGGTAGGGGTGCTGTGTGTGTTGTGGGGTAGGGGTGCTGTGTGTGTGTTGTGGGGGTAGGGGTGCTATGTGTTGGGGTGCTGTGTGTGTTGTGGGGGTGTGGGAGGGGTTGTCTGTGTGGGAGGTAGGGTAGGGGGGCAGTGTGTCTTGGGGTAGGGGTGCTGTGTGTGTGTTGGGGATAGGGGTGCTGTGTGTGTGGGATGGGTGCTATGTGTGGGTAGGGGTACTCTGGGGGGTAAGAGGTGTGTGTTGGGGGTAGGGGTGCTGTGTGTGTGTTGGGGGTAGGGATGCTGTGTGTGTGTTGGGGGTAGGGGTGCTGTGTGTGTGTGGGAGGGTGCTCTGTGTTGGTAGAGGTACTCTGTGGGGGTAGGGGTGCTGTGTGTGTTGGATAGGGGTGCTGTGTGTGGGGGTTGGGATGCTGCTGTGTGGGGGGAGGGGCGGTTAAAAAAGTTATGCTAAATCTGTATACCCCCTCCCTCCTGCTTACCTTTAATGAAGGAGGGGGGGGGGGACACAGCCATCCCTGGTGGTCCAGTGGTGGTAAGTACTGCTTCTGGGTCGGGAGGCAGGGGGAGGGATCTGTGAAGCAGCTCCCCTGTCCTCCCTGGCGATGCTGTGTGGATGCTCCACACAGCATCGTGCGGGAGAACAGGGGAGCTGCTTCACAGATCCCTCCCCCTGCCTCCCGACCCGGAAGCAGAGTAGGCACCTGCCGTTTTGCGCAGGCAGGTGCCTACTCTGCATTGATGACGAACCTATGGCCGCGTGCCCACAGAAAGGGCCCGGCGTGCCACCGGTTCGCCATCATTGATATAGTATGTGGACCATTGAACATTTTTCAATTATTATGTGTGCAGCCATGTTCAGCAGTGCTGTGCTTAGAGCATATGTGCATGCAAAAAAAAAAAATAGCTGTAGGCGGCACAGGTCTCAGAGGGGGGAAAACAACCTTACTGGGTACTAAATAACTTCAACCCTTTTCCCACTCTACAAGACTCCCAGAGCAATGGGGTCTGTATCCACTGATCTTAAGACAACTTCCCCATATGAGCCGCGAGAGATAAGCCGATCTAAAACTCTCACCATAACAGGGGAGCCATAAATGCCGTATCCATCAGGTATTAGATGGTACTGCCTATTTGTGTCTTTATGCTATAGGACCTTCGAGTCCAACATGTGAATGCTATATGCGCTATATTGTGACCTGCGTGTCACCGATGTATGCCTATGAGATCATCATTTAAAAGGTATGATTGTTGATATACGAGATTAATGGGACCTGCGTGTCCATGCTGCAGTTTTCTTTCACAGAATGTTGAAAATACTCAATAAAAATAAATTTACAAAAAAAAAAAGACCTCATGTAGGCAAAAATAATGGGGGTTTAGTTACAGTATATGATCATACATTGCATAAGCCTGCCACAACACCAATGTACCCCATTCTTGGCAGGCCCTACTCTAGCAACTTAGTGCCTGCATTTATGCAATCAATCCACTTACTTTGGAAATGTCCCCTCCTGGGACTCTCTACAGGGCAAGGTTGAGGCACCTGTGACAGGGAAGCATACAAAACCAGGAGTCCTAATAAGACTCCCGTGTATATTTACATATAAAACTTTAAACATATATGAAACATATATGTTTCATGTGTCATATAAATGCACGTCTTCAATGCCACCAAGCAGTACAGTCTTTAATCTTGGTAAACGCTTGGATATGTTGGTTGCACCAAGATTAAAGATCCTGTATTGCCTGGTGGCATTGAAAATGTGCATGACATTTGATAATGCATGAATGATTGCCCCCACATAGAACAGGATTACTACATATGGTGTGTCCATTGAAATAATGTATGTATAGAATGGGACATTCACGTTCCAGTTTGCCAGAGATTAATTGACATTATGCTGTTATTTGCAGATCATTAACTCATATTAATGAATCATTGGAAGATAGCTGAACTAAAGAGGTAACAGCTGTCTGCAGACGCTTCTGACAGGAAGTATAATTCCTACCAATCTTGGGCAGGTTGGGACATGTATGTGACAGTGTTGCACTGTGTGCCATTCAAACTGTGCATCATAATATCAACCACTATGTGGAACATGGTTTCAAAACATGAGCAGGTCATTAAAATAATATATGCATATAAATTATTTCCTCATGTTTTAGAATTCCATACTGCAAATATGGTGATATCAGCAGTTCAATTATTTCCTGTAATGAACAGCTAATAATACACAGATCACCTCCTTCACAGTCTGGGGCCCTAATTTCAGGAAGGTTTGGAAATAAATATCTTGTTCTGAGATTAGTTAGACATATACTCCTGAACAGCACCTGCATCCATTTTAATAATGATAACTGCTGAAAAAGCTGATGTTCAGGACTGTAACTCCCACTAAACTCAAGCTGAACTGAGACATGAATGTCCCAATAGTATCCTTACAATTAAGCCATCTTCTAAACCCATACACTTAGCTTTAAACCCTACATTATCATAACATACTACAAATTAACCTCTTTAGTACCGTATTATCTCTAAACATAAACCTAACACATTAACACTATCATAAAGCATAACCTCACAAATTAACCCCCTCCACTAAGGGCAAACATTAAACACATACCTATGCTGTACCATAAAAGTTACCATATTTACCTACACTTCCTTAACACCTGCTGCCCCTAATCTGAAAATATAATGTAATATAAAATATACCCAACAGCACGCAATAGGGGACATAATGACATCTCAAATTTAGATACATTTATAAACCACTGGATCTTTAATCTTGAAGTTTATTTTGATTCCTCCAGAACCCCAATATGGCATTATTCTCTCATAATGCACAGTTCACTGTAATTTATCCTTTATTTTTTATCTATCTATCTATCTATCTATCTATCTATCCATCTATCTCTTTATTCAGATCATTAGATGAATAGATAGATAGATAGATAGATAGAAAGATAGATAGATATGTAGATAGATAGGTTGTGTGTGTGTGTGTATACATATATTGTTTTAATCTATCTATCTATCTATCTATCTATCTCTTTATCCAGATCACGAGATGGATGGATGGATAGATAGATAGATAGATAGATGGATGGATGGATAGATTGATGCATGGATAGATTGATGGATGGATATATAGATTGATGGATAGATAGATAGATAGATAGATAGATAGATAGATAGATAGATAGATAGATAGATAGATAGTTAGATAGATAGATAGATAGATAGATAGTGTGTGTGTGTGTGTGTGTGTGTATACATATATTTTTTTAACCGAAACTTTTAAACAGCTAATGAGCTCTTAGTTGTAAATTATATCTTTCACATAACTTAAACATTAGGGAAATTGTTATTTTAGAGCTAAGAAACATTTCCCAAAGCTCATTTGAATATTAGCTCTTAGCCTAGATAATTAAAAAAAAAAATACCACAGGATGAGCATCACCACTTGAATGTGTTGTATTAATACACCAAGTAATTTCATCAAATTATTCTATTCCCTGCAATATTTTGAGCTCCTGATATTTGCTTGCTGCAGAATTTATCTGCAGAGTAGCTTTGATCAGGTCCTTACTCTGTAGCTAATGGAGAGTATCTGATGTTAAATATTTAGTACCAAACTGAGCTACAGCAGATATGCTGGTAATTATTCACAGTTAAAATCTTTTTTACAGATACCTGTGTGCAAATAAAAGTCCTTTGACAGCTGATGGAAAATATAGCCAGTTGTAATGGAAACAAATAGACTGGTGATTGGCAGAATCAATATGTAACCAAAATGGATCCTTTTGCAACAAATAATGTGGCATATCTTTTTAAGAGAGAGAGCGATAGCACGTTTCCTATCTTGTTGACCCATCCTAAATAGTGGTTCCCAGAAATAACAAAATAACACAAAATTGTTTGACTTCAGGGTAATCATATAGAGAGTGCACACATATGTCTGATAACAAGACTATTGCACTCCTGTAGAATATTGATGTAGTTGAAGAAAGCATATATGCCTGTGTGTTTATTGCAGAACATATTCAATGGATGCAAAACAGTAAACCAAAGCTTGTGGAGTTGAGTGCGAATGATCTTTAGATTTTAAATAACAGATTTATTTTTTTTCAATAACAATATTGTTCAAAAAAAAGTCTAAAATATTATATAGTATATGGACCATTGAACATTTTTCAATTATTATGTGTGCAGTCATGTTCAGCTGTGCTGTGCTTAGAGCATGTGTGCATGTACAAAAAAAAATTATTTTAATTTTCGAGTTGATTTTAAATAGGAGTTGAATAGCTTTTCATGACTGTGATTTTTGCTAGAGGATATGTTGTGTCAGGGATGTCATGATGAAATTGTGAAATCAAGGCTTTTTTTTTTTTGGACTGATCTTTCTGTGTTCACATTGCAGTGACCTGATGTTAGCTTCCAAACTGCAATAGAGCTGCTCACAGCTGCCAGGTCCATCCACTTATATTGTTCGTACATTCCTTTACATTTAACAGCATTACCTCTGAGAGTAAGCGTGAGCGTGAGAGAGGATGAGAAAAAGAGAGGGGGAATGGGAGAGGGGGGAGAGAAAATTGGGAGGAAGGATATGCTGAGGATGAGAGAGCATATGTGTTTATTATTTGTAGGATTATTTAACCAAAACACTATCAGTGATTGTGTTATTCATAAATCCAGAACAGAGAATATACCAGAATATATGTACATTGGATCTATGGTGAAGTCTACCTAATGATGAAAAATGAAAATATGTATTTTTTCCCACCACTGTTTATGAAATGATTTCAAGAAAATGTAATCCTGAAGCACCTGGCAAAGCAAGCACAGCTGGGGAAGTTGCAGTCCAGCTCTGATCCTTGATCTCAGTAAAGTCAGAAGCATCAATAATGATTGATCTGAACACTCTGTCCTGATCAAGTGGATCTCTGGAAGTCGGTGTAATACGGAATTTGAGCAAGCTCAGTTTAAAGCAATAGCCATTGCATTAGATATTCCATTCTCAACTGGGTCACCAGCAATTGATAGATGATTTTCTATAAAGTGTTTCACTGGATTGTGGTTGGTTGTGAGGTTGCTGAGATTGCTCACTGTGTGTTAGTGTGTGTGAGAAAAAGAGAGAGACAGAGAAGAAGATAGACAGAAAGAGAGAGCAAGAGAGAGATAGAGGCAGAGGAAAGAAGGAGGGGATGACAGAGAGGCAGCAGAGAGAGAGACAGAGAGAGCTTGAGGAGCACAAGTCCACATCTCTTGGAGACAATCAGAAAATGCAGAACATTTCATTACATGGATCCGGATTTTAAAGGTATGCAAAAGATATGATGAAATCAAATCCATGTTTTTTGTTTTTTGTTTATGTTGCTTCCATTGGTGATTTGACAGAAGGGAAAACCTTAATAGATTCATAGGCTATAGCACCATTAAGCAAGGTGATCGCCTTCAATTTAAAGCCTTATTTCTCAAACAAGGCAGAGTCCATCAGTTCCATCAAGTGGATTTTTTTTTTTTTTTCATCACAAAAATATCAGGGCTAATTGCTGCTTTCGCTATCTTTCTTTCCTGGTTCGATGCAGATTAAGGAATTAAGTAAAAAATAAAGCTAATATATGGTAAGGAAAAATGGGAGCATGCTCTGGTAAAGCTCATAATATTAAAGCACTTTCTTGACAGAATTAGGCTGGTTGCATAAGCTGTGTTTTAGGCTAGCCTGGCTTGCATTGAAATAAAATAGTTGTGTGTGCCGTGTTATCTTGTGGATGGATACTGTAACAGGCTATGGTTCTGAGACCAAGGTTCCAAAATGGCATTTCTTGTCAGTCCCTATGCTGAAGGGTTACTTCGTGAATTCTCTTTGTGACTGATCGGTGGAAAAAGGGATCTGTGCTCCAACGGCAGTTAATGATCCCCCACCAAACCCCCTCCTTATCCTCTAAGCACCCGACCCATCCTGTAGCTATCTAACAAGAGAGACCCTCAGTTTCTGAGTCTGACACTTCCCATTTGACAGACATTATCCAGCGGAGACCCAGGTGACTAGAAGGAAAGAGATAGCTTATTTCATACCATGGGGGGCTTTAATAAATAGCATCAAACTCCCCCATTCTGCAATCATAAACCAACCGATATCGTGCTAAACTTGGTTCCCTGTAAAGATGTGTTTCCACATCTCTCGTGGACGCGCACACAGGCTGTGTGAGGCTGAGTGAGGAGGGAGGGAGGCTGAGAGTGACTGCCTAAAGTCCTGAAAGATCAATAAATAATCCCTGCTTATCTCCCCTGCACTTAAAATCCTATACCCTGTTCTCCTGCAAAAAAAAAAACAAAAACAGTCCATTTAATGTATTTTACACTCAATAAAAAGTAGTCTGATAATTATATGTGCTTAGAAAAAAAAAAACATAATAAGCACACAAAATTATCAGTCTGCTCTCTTTTACTATTCTTTGATCATTATCTGCAAGTTAAACATTTATTTCCCTCATATATTTTTATTATGTAATATATATTCATTATTCCTTTCAGCTTTACAGAAATCACCACCTTTTATCATCCCCATGGGACTGAATGGGTTGATACATGACTACTTCAAATGACCTTTCTGAGACTGAAAGGGTTAATATATGCAAACTTTCACTGATGTGTGTCTTTAAACCATTTTTTAAATTCCACGGGACTTTCTACATCTTATCATCCCCATAGGAGTGAGGGGTTAATATATGCACACTTCAAATAATCTCTCCCCCCCCCCTCTTCGATTACTGATGTGTGGTTACTTTAACTCTTTTAATATCACATGAACTACCACATTTTATCATCCCCATTGGAGAAGAAGAGTTAATATAAGATCACTTCCCATAATAGCCCTGGTCCATACAACACTTTTGATGACATGTATATGTATTAACTCTTTTTGCATGTTTTTAGTGTTATTATAATTCTTCTTATTATTATTAATATTATTAGCTGTTGGTGGAAAAAAATAGCAAAAGAGAGCCGAGTGTTAGTCATGGTTGCTTTTTTTTTAATTTAGCTTTTTGTTTTAGCTTTTTTTTTTTTTTTACAGGAGAGAGTATTAAGGATTTTAGGTGCAGGGGAGATAAACAGGGATGTTTTATTGACCTTTCAGCCACACTCAGCCTCCTTTCCCCCTCCCTCCGCTCACAGTCTCACACAGCCTCACACAGCCTGCATGCACGTTCTCGAGAGATGTGGTAACACATCTTTACAGAGAACCAACCCGGTCAAACACTGGGGGTCCCCCCTTCTCCTTCCATCCCTACTGCAGCTCAGACACAGGAGAACCTTATTAGCCAGGACTTACCCAAGACCTTCCTAGCTAGTGAGCTCAGCATCTCCTAACTCCTGGGTACCACTTTATGTGGAGAAGTGCTACCTGTTTCTCCACGGAAGGGATTGAGGATCACAGCAGAAGAACATTCTTCTCACATTATCCAGACAGAAGAGAGAACCCCCCCATCACTCCTTTTTTTCCAAAAAGCCAGCTGGCATGATTCCTGCCTCGGGAACCCTCTCTAAACGCTCTAGCTCATCATCAGAAGTGGAGATCTGATTAAGAAGAGCACCCAGCAGGATCAGGGACCATGCTGCGGCAAAGCATTGCGGTACTAATCAGCACTATCGCAAAGCTCAGACATTTGCCATTGATATTATAGGTATTCTACCAGTGACCCATTGCTGTGTATCTGTGTAATGTCTGGGTGCCATCTCCATCCTCCTCCTCTACTGTGCCATAGATAGGGCCAGCGTGTACTATGAGCATGATCCTGTGGGGAGAGAGAGGTTTGTGGTTTTTGTGTGGGAGAGAGATAGAAATGACTTCATGGCTGTCACACATAGCCTGTGATCTCCATTCCATTTTAAAGTTTATTCGAGTGTGCAGCTTCAAAGAAACCAGGGATAATGCATAAAGATGATTAAAGATGTATTTTGTGGGGGAAGAAGGAGGGGGGGAGGTAGTCTTTTATCTAAATCGTGACCTTTTTATAGATTTGGACTGTTTTTCTGTATATGTGGATTTGAAATGGTAATTGTACAACACATTTAAAATATATGCATGTAAACCACTATATATATTTGTTTTATTATATATACATATATATATATATATATATATATATATATATATATATATATATATATATATACAGCCTTTCATACTGACAGACAGTTAAATGTACAAACGCAGACAAACAGATTTGTGCTATTAGAGTGAGAGCTAGAATTATGGATCATTATTGGAGAAGGATGGATGGGATGGATAGCTAGCTGGATGGGAGGGATGGATGGATTGTAAAGGGTAGGTGGATGGATGGTTGAATAAATAAATAAATAAATAAATAAATGGATGGTTAGATAAAAGAATGCATAGATAAATGGATACATTTACAGACAGAGAATCTGTCTGGCTAGGCACTTTTCATAGTATGTGAATACTAATTCATTATTATTAGAGTGCGAGTGATTCTATATCTATGGTGAAAGAGACATAGCCTGTAGACACAGTCAGATAGAGATATAAATAATCAATATATATATAGACAGACTAATAAGATAGACATAAGGAGAGACATACAGGCATACATTGCCATGCCTGCTCTAATAATCTGACATTAAGTACTAAGACAGTGTCTTTCTGTTTGTTTAGACGATTCCCCCCAGAAGCCTGAGAGCGTTTTGTCCCTGCCAGAAGATGTTTGTGTGGCTCTTCCTGTTCCTCACCACCCCAATCTCCTCCACCAACCCGGACTCTGAGCTCTCCCTAGAGATCTGCAATGTATGCTCTTGCATATCGGTCGAAAATGTGCTCTATGTCAACTGTGAGAAGGTGGCAGTCTACAGACCAAATCAGCTTAAACCCCCTCTTTCTAATTTCTACCATCTCAACTTTCAGAACAACCTGCTCATCATCCTTTATCCCAACACCTTCCTCAACTTCACACATGCAGTATCACTGCAACTGGGCAACAATAAACTGCAGAACATCGAGGGAGGAGCATTCCAGGGGCTCAGTGCATTAAAACAGTTGCACTTGAACAACAATGAATTAAAGGTCCTGAGGGCTGACACATTTCTGGGCATTGAGAATTTGGAGTATCTCCAGGCTGACTACAATTTAATCAAGTATATTGAACGGGGAGCCTTCAATAAACTTCACAAGCTTAAAGTTCTTATTCTAAACGACAATCTGATTTCTTTTCTCCCTGACAATATATTTAGGTTTGCCTCCCTAACCCATTTGGACATTAGAGGGAACAGGATCCAGAAGATGCCATACATAGGTGTTCTGGAGCACATTGGGAGGGTGGTGGAACTTCAGTTGGAGGACAATCCTTGGAATTGTACATGTGATCTGTTGCCCCTGAAAGCTTGGTTGGAAAACATGCCCTATAACATCTACATTGGAGAAGCTATATGTGAGACGCCAAGTGATTTGTATGGTAGGTTATTAAAGGAGACCAATAAACAGGAATTGTGCTCTATGGGCATTGGTAGTGATTTTGATGTGCGTATTTTGCCCCCATCCATGGAAACAATATTCACTACTCCTGGGGGGAACACTGCACAAACATCACAAGGCAGGTTGGTTACTAAGCCTCCTAAGACCACCAATCCATCCAAGAACTCTGGAATAGTATCTGGCAAATTTGTCTCTAACCACACTCTGAGTCAGATAGTGTCCTTTCAAACCAGGGTGCCTCCTCTATCACCCTGCCCATCGCCATGTGTTTGTAAAACTCACCCTTCTGATTTGGGATTGAGTGTAAATTGCCAGGAAAGAAACATTGAGTCAATGGCTGAACTTGTCCCTAAACCTGTCAATGCAAAGAAATTGCATGTTAATGGCAATTTCATCAAAAACGTAGCACAATCGGATTTTGCAGAATTTGATGGTCTGGATTTACTCCATTTAGGCAGTAATCAACTGACTTCTATTCAAGGAAACGTGTTCAATAACCTGACAAATTTAAGGAGGTTGTATCTAAATGGAAACCAACTGGAACGTCTAAGTCCTGAGATATTTGCTGGTTTGTACAACCTGCAGTATCTTTACCTGGAATACAATGTCATAAGGGAAATTTTGGGAGGGACATTTGAGTCCATGCCAAACCTCCAACTGCTTTATCTAAATAACAATCTTCTGAGAAGTTTGCCTGCTTATATTTTTTCTGGAGTGCCCCTGGCCAGGCTCAATATAAGGAATAATCATTTCATGTACTTGCCTGTAAGTGGAGTTCTTGACCAGCTCAGGTCTCTGACACAGATTGATCTTGAAGGAAACCCTTGGGACTGCACATGTGATCTGGTGGCTCTGAAGCTTTGGTTGGAGAAACTGACTGAAGGAATTGTCATGAAAGAGGTGAAATGTGAAACACCTGTGCAGTTTGCAAATATTGAGCTGAGATCCTTAAAAAATGAAATTCTCTGTCCCAAACTGATTAACAAGCCACCCACCCAGTATACAAGCCCTCTCCCAGCTGCCACCCTAACCACTCCACTGGGTCCTATGAAAAGTCCACCAGGTGGACCTGTTCCGTTATCTATTTTGATCCTCAGTATTTTAGTAGTGCTAATTTTGACAGTGTTTGTTGCATTTTGTCTTCTTGTTTTTGTGTTGAGAAGAAATAAAAAACCATCAGTAAAGCATGAAGGGATTGGAAATCAAGAGTGCAGCTCCATGCAGCTACAGCTAAGGAAACATGATCAGAAAGCACTTAAGATGGATGGTATATCTGCAGAAACCTTTTTTCCACAGACTATTGAGCAGATGAGCAAAAGCCATACATGTGGCATTAAAGATTCTGAAGTAGGATTCCCATTTGTTGACCACCAGGGGGGGAAAGTAAATATAAGGAATTTAACTGACAAGGATAAAGATTTACATGCTGATAGAAAGAGACTTAGCACAATAGATGAATTGGATGAATTCTTTCCAGGAAGAGACTCAAATTTATTTATTCAGAATTTTTTAGAAAGTAAAAAAGAATATAATAGCATAGGAGTCAGTGGTTTCGAAATACATTATCCAGAAAAGCTACAGGACAAAAAATGCAAGAAATCTTTAATAGGTGGAAATCACAGTAAAATTGTAGTAGAACAGAGAAAAAGTGAATATTTTGAACTGAAAGCAAAGCTTCAAGGCACACCTGATTATTTACAAGTCCTTGAAGAGCAAACAGCATTGAGCAAAATGTAGGGCTTGCCATGTAAACACCACTACAGACAATTATTAAATGATGTAAGTGCCTTTTGTAGACTTTTAACTTCCAAATATTATCTATAGGCATAGATTCAGGTGATTTCAGGAGTGTCCAGTTGCTTAGGGGTGCACATGTTGAAGACATTCCCTTGTAGGGATTACTTCTCAGAGCTGCTTCATTCTGGATTTCTCTAGGACTGCACCAGACACTATTGCCAAAGGGATACTTTATATTATGACAAACATAATTCACCTCAACTGAAAGAGGCATCTATTATCTACTGTATATTTTGTACCCAAATGCAAAACTCCTGTCTCCATGTGATTGGTTATTCAAAAAAAAAAAAAAAATAAGAAAAAAAACAGTGATTGTTTTTCCATGTTCCTCTCAAATGGATAAAGCTGGTGAAAAACGAAGATGATTGTTTAGGTCGAAAAGAATGTTTAAAGATGATCAGAGATGGTCAAGTAAAAAGCATGCAAAAGGACATCAGCTCATGTAAATCGGTAACATGTATGACCTTTTATCTAAAACCAAGAATTAATCATGTCAAAATGTGAAAATTCAGTATAACTTGCTTTACAAATCTATAAATAAATTCAGTCACTTGAAATCATACTTGGCTACACGTAAAAAAAAATAGATAAATATGTTTATTTAACAGGATACGTTTCAGCAAAAATGTGAATCAAATTAAGCAAAGTTAAAAAAATTAAAATAATAAATCAATCATTTTCATTATTTGCAATCAAACAGGTTGCAGGAACTTTCCAGGTATGCTTGCTATGTGAGCGGATTCTAAAGTATTTTTTTAAATAGAATTCATATATATGAAATACTTTGTATACTAAATAGAAATCTATGTAATCCTTAATATGTATTTAAATGCCTGACTTGTTTCTGTGATCACAATGCATTAATCTTTAAAGTTAAACATTCAGATATACCAAACTGATACAGGAAATGATGTGTACACTTGACTTGATTTAATGTGATCAGGTAAAATAAAGGTTGTCCAACTATAGTCGTGTGAGTGGTAGAATGCTATGTTCTGATTTCAATTTATTATTCCCAGTTGTGTTTGTAAGAGAAAATATTGACTGTTTTTTTGTTTATTGTGATAGCTTATTATCAGGCAATAGGAATGAACAGAAATGTAAAAATTTCTGTAATTGAACCCCATCATTAGGACATAAAATATTAACCAGCTAGTCACCGTGTTATATCAGGCATTTCATGATATAAAGGGTTTGCTCTAATTCCCAATCTCAAAATGGATAACAGAAACACCTTAGGCTTATTATCAAAATGGCAGGACTGATCAAAAAAATACAATAAGTCTGTTTTCAGGGAATTCAAATTGCAGCAAGACTGACATATTAATTAAAATTGAAAATCAACACTGAAAAAAATATGTATGTTAATATGGTAGTTAATCCAAATATGACCATTAACAATCTGTTTTTTTCTGGCTAAAACATATATCTCTCAGTGGTCTATTTCAGTACTTATTTGTGCATTAATTATGGTAAAATAACAAGTATGTGTTCAGTGAATAATATGTTAAACGATGATTAGATTGTGTCTGTTGTGAGTTTTAATAGTCTTTTGAGGAGGACCATAAAATTAATTGACAAGCTTCAAAATGATCTAGAATGCCATTTCTTTCCCCATCTTATTCTAGGTGCTCATTTTTGTTCCGAAAAACAATTCTATATAAAATATGTAATATGGATATGAGTATTGATAGGTTGCAGCATGGGTTGAGGATGAAATCATTTCTAGGTTAAAGGTCTAAATATGGAACAATTAGAAGGAATTCCTATGTTACCATGGTGATTGCTCCAGTTCTAGATCTTTGCCCTAGAATTTACAGCTTTACTCCCATATTATTTATAACATTCACAAAATAATTGCTAGTGAAAGAATGTGTAAATTAGAAACCACAAGGTAAAATATTAATTATGTTTTGTTTTAAAAAATATGGTTTTATCCTAGTGTCATGTTTTAAATAATCGCTATACATTTCAGACTTTTAACACAATGTATTTACAAATATGAACACATTAATCCCAACTGGCATTCTGCAATTATATCTGCTGATATTCTTTGAATTTACTGACATTGTGGAGTACATTGACTTTTTTTATGACAATCAAATATATGAACTATTCACTAGATAAACCGACTTGCAGAATTTAAGTTAAAAAAACAAAGGTGTAAAAATATCTCAATTTCATTCAAGATGATTTCAGCTTTGCAATTTGGATGTACATTTTCCAAGTTGGTTCATATCACACACCACATAACTGTTTATTGACTGGGCCTTGGAATGCAGGTAATACATAGTTATATTGTGGTGATATATAAATAATGTCCGTTGCATGACTTGTATTATAATATTGTATGAAATGAGCACAGTTAGGAGTTTTTCAATCAGTTTATTTATTTTGCACCCAAAGATCAAGAGAAGAAATACAAATTAAAAAGAATGTATTTGATATATTTTTAAATAAAGAATAGAATAAAATAATCATTTCTACATTGATTAACATTTAACTCACATTCTTTAGTGCACAAAATATTATGATTAGGTATGTATAATTCATTTTTTGTTTAATTGCATAGGAATGGTGAGAGATAGCAGTATCCTGAAAAAAACATGCTTTATATGATGTATTGTGCTTCACAAGGTGCATTATAATGGTTAAAAATATAACATAAAATGAGATAAAATACAATGTTTTACTTTTACTGATAGTGATTTAATTGATACTGCATATTGCATACATTGCAAGCTGAGGTGTGTAAAACAATGTAATGAACCTTTGGAAAGAAAATCAAATTATGTTGGTTCAAAATGGCTGCATGAAGCTGTCTACTATTTGTGCTACTAGTTAACCATCACTATCTCACTGTCATACATAAATCCTGGTGCATCTGGACTATAGGATAATGATTAATATTAAGCAAGCTTTCTTTTACATATGTTATTAACTCCACAAATAAAATCCAAATCCTTGTATTTTTCTTTTTAGCATCAAAGCCTCTGTGCATGGTGTTGGGATGGAAGCCCTTGCTCAGTTTATTTCATGCCCAAATAGGCCATTAGGTAAGATAACAACAGCATTGCAGCCCTGCCCAGCTTAACAATGCTTCTTTTTAATCATATTTTGCCATAGCCCATCGAGTATACTACTATGTCCTTGTCTCCACCTCTCCCTTCCTTTAAGTGGCAATTGTAGTCAGGAGGGGTAAATGGTAGAGAAGGAGGCGATAATAACTAATCTCTCCCTGCAAAAGAAAGGCTTGGTTAAGACAATGTTGTTACCAGCTTATCTGGGATTGAGACCTTACCATTGTCACCACCACCATGAGGGACAGACAGTCTGCCTTTGAATGACATGAGACATCATGATGTCTTACAGACTCACCTGGACGGGAGAAATCGAATTTCTTTAATTTCACTATAGAATCTGTGCAGGGTCCTTATAGATAAGAATCTGCAAATAGTTTTTGGTATGAGGAGGGGAAACTAAGACATATGGTATGGGGCATGACATTGTTGGCAACTAAGGAAGATAATGCAGAGTATAATGGCTGATTGGCTGTATGAGAATGGTGGCAGAAGGCAGGGAATGAGAAGTGTCAGTGGTGGGAGCATAAAATAAATGGCATCAAAAGCATGGCAGAGTATAGTGAAAGTATATAGAGTATAGCAGATGAATATGAAATGCATAACTGTTGAGTTTTCCATATGAAAATGGCAGGATTTATAAGATGGATGTAACAGTAACGAAGGATGTGATGAAAAGGAAGGGACAAGGGAGATATGAAGTTGTAGCTGGGTTACATGACATTACTTTCGTCTGCTTTTTAGGGCATTTAGTGCAAAAGAATGAAAGCAACCCAATATGTGTTTAGGCTTTACAGTAAATATTGTGCATATATAGCCAGCAATTAGATCCACATCGAACAGTTTATATTCACATTTTATTGTCTGTAAGTTATATGCAATATAACATTGTAAGAGCTCTAGTGATTAATGTCAAGATTATTGTTGAGGATTTTTGGATTTTTCTTTTGTTTTAAGGATATTTTATATCACTCCATACACCTTATGGCACTTTATACACCTTAATATGCACACAATTTCCTAGTGTTGTGGTGTGAACAGGGATAAATCCCTTCTTCCACTAGGGAAATCCAGGTATCAATTGATATCTGAATCTAATCTTAGCCATCAGGGGGCAAATTTTACTGGCCCCTAGCTGAGCAATAAAATGTGACAAAAGCTTAAAGTAAGTGCTGTCAAATCTCATTAAAAATGCACAGCTGAAATTCTGTTCATCCATAACTCTGCAACATAATTGCTCATCTTGCAACATATCAGGGATATCATGGAGGGGCTCACTGTGTATTCCAGTAATCCCCTTTGTACCTGATCACACTGTCTGTGTGATCATACACTGGACTTAGCTTTGAGACTGGTGTCTGATCACTTTGCATGATCAGACACACATAGAGCAGCTGCAACTCTGTGACAAATTATGTGAGCTGTCACTGAGCTCATTTAAACAACACAGGGGGTGAAACAGTATGTTCCTCTCCCTGATGCATAGATCTGATAGGCTGCCTATGTATAGGAATATATTGGTAATCTAATCACCATGGATCCTCCTTCTAATAGGAGACCCATCGTGTCTGATTGCCCCAATCTGTAATACAAAATACTGGATCTCAATACATTTATAAATTATAATAAAGTATAACAATCAAGTGGAAGTGAGTCTGGCAGCTTAAAGGATCACTATAGGGTCAGGAAAACAAACATGTATTCCTGACCCTATAGTGTTAACACGACCATCTAGTGTTAACACGACCTCTCATGCCTCCATAAATATAGTAAAAATCTTACTGTAAAGCCAGAAGCTTTAAATCTGCATGATGTTAGACTCAGGAAAAACAAGCAGTCTGCGGACATGATAGCCTGATCCAATCACAGTGCTTCCCCATAGGATTGGCTGAGACTGACAAGAAGGCAGATCAGGGGCAGAGCCAGCATGATTCAAACACAGCCCTTGCCAATCAGCATCTCCTCATAGATATTAATTGGATCAAAGAATCTCTATGAGGAAAGTTCAGTGTCTGCATGCAGAAGGAGGAGATACTGAATGTTTAAATTTTAGGCAGCCATGACCCAGGAAGAATCTCTAACAGCCATCTGAGGAGGTGGCCAGTGAAGTTATCACTAGGCTGTAATGTAAACACTGCATTTTCTCTGAAAAGACAGTGTTTACAGCAAAAAGCCTGAAGGTAATGATTCTACTCACCAGAACAAATTCAATAAGCTGTAGTTGTTCTGGTGACTATAGTGTCCCTTTAAGTTATTGCAGGGTGCCACTGGGGGCGTGTTCACCTGGAAGCACTGGGGTAGGTGGGCTCCTATAATCGTTTAACAGCCATAATGCTACCAAAGCATTAGGGTAGATGTGGTCAACAGCATTTAAAGTGATTAGGCTTAGTGAACTGAGTCTGAAGAGCATGGTACCTCAGCAACATTCTAAGTAAGCATTTTTATTTTTTGTAGTCTTCAAGGCTTCTTATTTAAAAGCCTGTGATTGGACACTATTCACAACTAAGATACACTGTTCATCAAAGACATCAAGGCGGGACAAAAAGAGGAACTGCAGATAAAGATTTATATTAGACCTATATTAAAATGAGGCCACAACAAATATATATATTATATATAAATATTAAAATATTAATAATTCAACCACACTTATAGTTAATTCACTTGTGCCACTCTTTCCATCTGTGTCCGTCTATGTCTTATTTTGGGGAAGTTTAGTAACATTCTTTAAAAGGACACTATAGGCACATAGACCGCTTCACCTCATTGAAGCCATCTGGGTGCAGTGCCCCTGTCCCCTTAACCCTGCAATGTAAAACATTGCACTTTTAGAGAAACTGAAATTCTTATATTGCAGGGTTACGGCAACATAGACCACTAAAGGCGCTTCTTCAATTCACATGGAGTTTCACTCTATGAAACAAAGCTTGACATCTTCATGCTTTGCATGAGGAAGTCCACTATCTTGAAAACCACCATAGGAAAGCATTGATTCAATGGCTTTCTATGTGAAAGCTCTAATGGGTGGCACTTGGCACGCATGCACATTATGTTCCCCCATCACTGTGACATCGTATGTGGAGGAGACCAGGGGACCTTGCACTGGAATTAGGTAAGTGAAAGACTGAAGGATACCGAGGCAAATGGACACTGTAGTGTCAGAAATACCATTTTATATTCCTAACACTAAAGAGTTCCTTCAAAATTATAGGTATACAAATATAAAATAATAGACAGGTTGCAGGACTCTGGTTGCTGATGCTGCGGAGCTACAACTTCCATAATTGTCTGGCCATCTATTACTTATAAAAATCCAGAGGTATATCCTGGACAGATCAATTCGTTCAGGCATAGATTAATAGGCATTTGATTTGTTACAATTCACAAACTTTGAAATACTGAATCTGATTCAGAGTGCGGGCCTTATTGTATCTGATTCAATGCTTGGGTTCAGCTAGCATTTTAGAAAACTACTTTCCCCAAAATACTTCAGGTTTTCCTACAAATCATACGCATGACATATGACTATTTGCACTTTTTACATCTACTAAAAAGTGCGTTTGTATTTTGGAACCAGTATAAAGTATACAGATGGCATATAATATCTAGTATGTTATATAACTTAATCAAATACTTTGCTACAAAATATAAATAGAATAAAATAGAAAGCTTAATCACTTTAAATTTGCATTAATTTTTAAGTATGTTCAAAGAGCATTAAGTGCAAATGCTTCCAGTAATTAACTATGTCTCTCTAACTAAGTTCATCTTGGATCTTAGGGGTTAGTTTTGTTGCTTCATTAATTAACAAAGGAGATCTACAGTTCTAATCCATTGAGTAAATTAATACAACAATATGAATCATAAACTGTGTTGTATTGACATACTCAGTAGAGAGAAGCGATGAAAAAAATCGACTCAAAGATGTTGATTTGACATCCAAGGTATAGGTCCCTTGCTTGATTTGAAAAGAACAAGGTCAAAGCTACAATAGAAGCATGTAATAATAATAGTAAAAGGCACCACTTATTATTATTATTATTATTATTATTATTATTTATTTATTTTTTAAAGCAAAATATTTGGTAGTTCTGTACCATACAACTAGGTAACATTTAAAGAAGATTACATAAACATTAACACAGCATACACATAACTTCATATTGGCATTGGATGGGGAAATCTTATAAGCTAACAGGTGTAGTGATAGGGACTGACAAAGATATTTACTAAAGTGAGTATTCTGAGGGAGTTCAAAGTGAATTTCAAATG